TTGGCGAACCTTATTATTGGATATTTGATGATCCTTATAGAAGAATTCCAATTTCTTCATTTTACAATCCTCAAGAATTCTTCTACATCGACAATATTGCAGTTGGTAATACAGCAACTACACAGGGAAATTTCTTTGGGTCCATTGCTAAATCTGCATTTATGGGAAACTATGCCAAGTATACGAAATTTCACAATATGAGATGCACCCAATGTTACAAAACTTTCTTTGGACATAATCATTTTGCTGGGGTTTCAATTGATGGAGGATACCACTCTTTTAAAATGCATTCTGGTGCAAGGAATGATTCTCTATGGTATAATGATAATGCTACCTTGTCAACTAATGGTTGGATTACTCAATTTAATGTCATTTCGAATAACATTTTGGGAAGCTTGCAGGATAACAATGTTTGGGTTTCAATGATTTCTCCTCAAAATGGTGCATATCCAGAACGTATTACTGATATAATTATTGAAAATAATCAATATATTATTCATAGAAATGATCAATATGATTTGATCATGTCAGCAAGAAATGTCACTTACAGAGCTAATACTAGAAGTGATGGTAAATCAGCTGCTGTCATGTTTGGTCCTCATGGAGAAGCTCTTCCAGCTTATTGGTTAGGACCGTACTACACTACTAATACTCCTGTTGTAAATGTGACAGCTTCAACTTCAAATGTCACTCCTGTTAAAAGTAGTCAACCAACAACAGCGAATAGTGGTGTGAAAGGTAGTGGAAGTACTTCAAGTGAAAGAGTTGGAGAATCGAATGGAAATTTTGCTTGTTCCTTAATGTTATTGCTGTTGCTTAGTTTAATTTTCATTATCCAGTTTTAAGTCAATTGATTCAATTCAATTATAAACTTTAATATATTTACTATTTCCTCCACATAAAAGTAAATGACCATTTCTTTTATCAATTCTCAAATGAGATCCATAAACTAAATATTCCTTAATTAGTTCGACATTATTTTCAGTCATTTGAAATACACTTAATGAG